CATTCTGCACCAGCAGCCCCACCTGGGAGACACACAGGGGCCATTCTGCACCAGTGGCCCCGCCTGGGAGACACACAGTGATCATTCTGCACCAGTGGCCCCGCCTGGGAGACACACGGTGATCATTCTGCACCAGCGGCCCCACTGCACAGTGGATCAGGGTGAGATGTCAGAAACTGCTGCACCAGCTGAGTGAAGGAGGACCTTCTGGGAGACCAAAGTGACATTTAATGGGACGGCAGGGTAACACCCCCACACTAACAAACAGTTATCATGGAATCCTTATTGACCAAATAAACTGCCTTCTTCCATACTGAATAGCGAATATTTGATGTTATGTATGTCTGCATTCAATTTTAATTTGCCAGGTGTCTGCCCAGTCCTGAAAACTATCTAAGGCTTTCTGTAATTGGTCTTTTATATCTATAGTGTGTAATTCCTGAAAGCCCTGTAGTTATATTTTGGTGGCAATGTGTCCACAGCTTGTCTACAGCAAGATGTCCAGTAATTGGTTCTCTACTGAACACTCTGGACTATTACTTCAATGTCTTCCACAACGGGGTTTAATGATTGTCTGTCTTATACCACATAGATGGTTACTCAGTATAGTCACTAGAATCACACAGATTTATAACGTGTTGCATAACTTCACCCCTGTACCCTTACAAACAATGAATCTGATTGTCTCGATAGTACAGGGAGTCCCATCAGAATGAGCAGTACACCAGCGGCCATCTTGACAAGCCCTTCTGCGTCGGGCTCAGCAGTCTACAAACACCAAAGGAGAAGCGAAAACAGATAGTTGTGCACCGTATTTATTGAATAAAGCATTATGGAAACTTCCGCCACTTTCGTTCGTGTTTCCCTTTAATGTTTTTTTTCTCTCTTGTCTAAGTTGAAACACCTTTCTTCCCACCTTCTGCACAGTCTCTATGTGGGTCCAAACCTTATATCCGCAGCTGTGCCGAAGTCTTCGAGATCCCGCCCTTCTCCCGCGCGAAGACCAGCTCTTCAGTCATATTCCTATGACCTTCTGGGCGTCTTGTTTTAAGACTGCTGGTTACATCGTGCCGAATTGTCTGTCGGGCAGGTTTTCAGAAAACGATTCCAGCCTCTCTCAGGATTTTGTAACTCCCCTCCTCCTTTTCTTTGTCCGAGAAAACACCGTGAAAACCGCCACCAGCTCTTACTGCGTTCGGCTCCCCATCCACACGCCCCAGAAACACAGCGCCTTGGGAATCATAATCCGTTCATCCATTCACCCATTCATCCATTACATTTCTGACCACTCTCTCCGATACCGGGTCGCAGGGGAGCCGGGCTCCTGTACGATTCAGTATCCCCTGGGTCAGACACATCTTACTTATAAATATTTCTAAAACATTTCCTTCAGTATTTTAACACATGACGTGCAGATCAAGTGTCTAGAATCGTTTCCGGAGAGTGAGAATCGTTTATTTTTTAAGCACATAATTTAAAGCCAGCGGTGGCGCTCAGAGTCGCTGTGCAGTTGGGTTCGGACGGGTCTGTCCCGGCTACCCAGTGCCGGACGCTCCTGCAGCGCCTGGTGTGCTGCGCGGAGCCGGGTCTGTGCCGGAGATGCCCGGTGTGAATTCCGCCCCCAGCTGATGAGAAATGCGCGTTCAAAGCGCAGCGAGAGGAGGACAGGAGTGTGACTCGGGACTGCGGTACCCCTACTTCAGCTTTATTTGATCGTTTTTAAACGACATTGAAGGTTCCTGGAGGCATCTCTTACTCCTGATCCTGGATTTGGCGACTCCAGTGTCTGTTTTTCCGTCTGGACTTTGAACGGTTTGATTTAGCCCTTATTTGAAGCAATACTCTGATTAAACTGACTATTCATTTGATGATTTTATTTATTTTTGCTCCTGAACAGAATACGACTTCGAGGAGCGAATCCTAAACTTAACGTTTAGCTATGCGGTTAAATTATTAGTTGAATCCGGGTTTAATTCAAGAGGGAAGAGTTCGCCTGGAAGAAAATGGATCAGAAATTCAGGCTCAGAGGGACCTGGAGTAGATTAACCGGCCCTAGAAACTCCCGTGCAGCTGCGAGCTCAGCTCTACCAGCCAGGACTCCCGGCTTCCGCCACTGTCACATCTTGGACGAGCCTCCGCGGCCCCTGGCCAATCACAGCCTGCGATTCGCACTAAGGTGTCAAGACAACAGCCAATCAGGTTTTAGTATCTGCCGCAAGGGATACGTCATTCATCGACGAGATGGAGCCGAACAGGGCTGGAAGCTCTCTGTCTTGCATCAGGGGCGATGTGGGGCAGAGTTGAACTTTAACGTGAACCGCATGGAGCAACTTCTAGCAATAACCTGGAATACTGCCAGATGTGATCTCTTTTTTTATTTTTTTCGACTCAGTATCTCGGAGAAAAAGAACAAAACAAGAACATGATGCCGGGTTGAATAATTAACCTTAGGGACGTGTTTTCCCGATGTTTAATTATTCATTTCGGTGTGTTCTTTTCGGGGGGGCAGGTGGTTTGTAAGTTCTGGGTTTATGCTAATCCCATCTGAAGTTCGCCCCCCCCCCACCCCGGCTGACACACTATAAATGAGCAGGACTGTCCAGCTGTGACCATACAGGAGCTGAGGCATCCCACACTGAGACCGTGTCCCAGAGACATCTGCAGAGACAGCTCACTCCATCCACCTGATTCGCTTTTTTTTAAAAGGATCTTGGTAAGATATTAGACTATTCATTATCTCATATTTTCTCTGCTTTACATTCACTTTAAAATAAGTGTCAAGTTAAGATTTGCATTGATTTTAAAATACATTTGAGCATCGTCTTCTCTGTAATGTATAATGACGTGACGAACCAGGTGTTAGAAGGTCTCTGCTTTTAATAGTAAAAACCGTTTTGTCGTGGCGAGTTCAGATAGAGTCGCACTGGTGCCGGGGTGACTACCTGCAGACTACCGGCTGTGAGCTCTCAGGCAGGGCAGCTGTATCAGAAATATCAGCTCACCTGGCTCCGGCGGGCAGGAGCATCTCCAGCAGACTCGGGCTGGGGCTAGACCGAATTCACTCAAACTCTTGAGAATTTAGGGGCCTTCTTACCAGAAGTGAGTGAAAACGTCATTGTTTTTGTAAATGCCTTTTTTTTTAATAGGAGATGATTTCCAACCCGTTAACCGTTGGTTAAGTGAGTTCGATTATTATAAATGTACTGTCCCGTACCGTTAATTTTATTTTTCCCCGAGACGGATTTTCCGGATTCGTGTGTCAAACAGGTTTTGCGCTGGTTTCCTTGTGATCCATCTGTCCGCTCTGTAGTAGTCTGTATGGGTTAGATGGGCACTGGACCACCGACCCCAGGGCGGACAGGATACTAGCAATAATACAATAACAAGCATTGTAAACCCAATACTGTACAATAGGCGAAAGTCTGGAATAAACGTGAGTACAAACACTGTAGGAAAAAAGCGATTAAACGAGTTCAGCTTCGTATTGTCAATGTGGATATCTTAATAGGTTGGATACAGTTTTAAACACGAATTTCATGAATGTGAGCTGTATTGTACAAGAGTTTGCGCTGGAGTCTTGAAAGGCGAAACTTTTAAAGTTTCCGCAAATCACCCTACCGCCAATTCGTGCCGGCGACATGCGTGGGAACGCCTCGTGTACTGAATCCCTCTGTTCAGTGAAATATAATGCAATTAGATTAGCCTCCCCGCTTCTTCAGTGAGAAATAGAAGATTCTGCGGGAAGAATCTGTCCAGGAGCCAACGTGACGCTGTAGAAACGAAACGTCTCCTGCGGGCGCTTTAGTTTTCTCTGCCTTCTTCCTCTCAGGGCACTGACGGCATCTTCACCCCAACCCAGCTGAGCACATCATGCCGCCCCAGGTGCACAACCAGGCGCTGTCCGCGCCGCGCGTCCTGCAGGGGGACCTGGCCGCCCTCGGCCCGGCGCTGCGGGAGTTCGTGGAGAGCAGCGCCTCCCTCTGCCAGCCCGACTCCCTGCACATCTGCGACGGCTCGGAGGAGGAGAACCTGCGCGTCCTCACGCTGCTGGAGGAGCAGGGAATGATCAAGAGGCTGCACAAGTACGAGAACTGGTAAGCGCCCGCAGGCCGGTTCTCTCCACGGCGCAGCTGACGCCGGTAGAATAAACAGCCGCACAGGGCAGGGAGTCACTAACCGTCGGTGGGGACCTGAAGGCAGGGGGACTCCCTGGACCAAGCTCGTGTTTACAGGGCTTTGCAAGGCAGCGGTGAGAGGCCCCGAGGGCCCGACTCACCCTCCTGTCTCCTGCTGCCTGCAGCTGGCTGGCTCGCACCGACCCCCGAGACGTGGCGCGCGTGGAGAGCCGGACGGTGATCGTGACGCAGGAGGAGAGGGACACGGTGCCCACGCCGCGCTCCGGGCTCAGCCAGCTGGGGCGCTGGATGTCCCAGGGGGAGTTCGAGAAGGCCATGAACCTGCGCTTCCCCGGCTGCATGAGAGGTACCTGACGGAGTCTGAGTCGGAGATGTGGGTCTGTGGGCCGTAATCCTGAACTGGCTCGGGGCTGAAAGAGAGCCCTGCTCGGGCCCCTTAAATAAGAACTGTTGACTTCATCTGGGGAGAAAAACCCTGTCGGGGACTGTCCTCCTCCGGGGGTGTGTTGTGCGTGTGTGTTGTGCGTGTGTATTGTGTGTGTGTGTGTGTGTGTTGTGCGTGTGTTGTGCGTGTGTCTGTAGTGTGTGTGTTGTGCATGTGTGTGTGTGTGTGTTGTGCGTGTGTGTGTGCGTGTGTTGTGTGTGTCTGTGTTGTGCATGTGTGTGTTGTGCGTGTGTGTTGTGTGTGTTGTGCGTGTGTGTGTTGTGTGTCTGTGTTGTGTGTGGAGAGGTGGGCCGCCCTAGCTCCCTGTGTCTGCTGCTCCCTCTGCAGGCCGCACCATGTACGTGATCGCCTACAGCATGGGCCCCCTGGGCTCGCCGCTCTCCAAGATCGGGGTGCAGCTCACGGACTCCCCCTACGTGGTGGCCAGCATGCGGGTGATGACCCGGATGGGGGCGGCCGTGCTGCAGGCCCTGGGGGACGGGGAGTTTGTGCGCTGCCTGCACTCCGTGGGCTGCCCTCTGCCCCTCAAGAGTAAGTCCGCTCCGCCCCCCCCCACCGCTGTCAGAAACGCTCGAGCGCCTGTCCGTCCCCACCACGGCATTATCAATAACACATGGGAAAAAGACCAGAGGCCCTCAATGGCTGCTCGTGCCACATATCCCTGCCAGGCACAGACCTGGCTTGTCTGCAGTGGATAGAGAGAACAGGCACAAGTTGGATACAAAGGGGTTTCATGTAGTTTTGCATCTAGACGGCTGGATAAGATCCCCAGATCAACGCGCTGCCAGCTCTCCAGCGGGCCGAATGCACCAGCGCTCTCCTCTCGGTCCTCACACGCGAGAGCTGAAAACCCGTCTCTGAACCTGCCCGTGCCGCAAGGAGGTGCCACTCCACTGAGCGCCGCTCTCTGTCCCCCCCATCACCCCCAGGGCCCCTGGTCAACAACTGGCCCTGCAACCCCGAGCTCACCCTGGTCGCCCACGTGCCGGACCGGCGGCAGATCGTCTCCTTCGGCAGCGGCTACGGCGGGAACTCCCTGCTGGGGAAGAAGTGCTTCGCTCTGCGCATCGCCTCGCGCATCGCCAAGGAGGAAGGCTGGCTGGCCGAGCACATGCTGGTGAGCTGACCGCTGCTCCGGGCCGTCGCGAGAGGGGATGGCAGAGTGGGCCCTGTCCACTGGGCACGGTCACTACAGGGCTGTCCAGCTGCGTCCTGTGGTCACTGTCGCTGCAGGGCTGTCCAGCTCAGCCGTGCAGTCATGGTCACTGCAGGGCTGGGCTGGACAGACACACATCACAGTCACAGGGAGGGCCGTCCAGCTTTGTCCTGTGTTGTCATGGTCAGCGAGGGTGGGGCAGCCCTGCCCTGTTGTCAGGGCCACTACAGGCCAGCCGGCTCTGTGCCGTGGCCACTGCAGGGCTGCCCAGCACGTCCCTGTGTGCTCACAGTCACTGAGGTCTGTCCAGCCCTGTGCCTCGGTCACGGTCACGGCAGCCCCCAGCCCTGAAGGATTCCCCCCCTTCCTTCTGCAGATCCTGGGCATCACCAGCCCGGAGGGCCGGAAGAAGTACATCGCCGCCGCCTTCCCCAGCGCCTGCGGGAAGACCAACCTGGCCATGATGAAGCCCTCGCTGCCCGGCTGGAAGGTGGAGTGTGTGGGCGACGACATCGCCTGGATGAAATTCGATGAGGAAGGTCAGAACCAGCCTGTCCCGCTCTCTCCCGTAACCGAGCACCCTCACGGCTTTACTGGGGCCTCCTGCGGACGCACCCCCCCTCCTTTTTGTGAAGGAGCCCTAAAACACGAAGCACAGCCTCAGCCCCCTAATCTCCACAGCGCTGCTCAGGAGCAGGCGATGGCGGGTTCCATCCCGAAGGAAGTGTTATGGAGGGTCAGAGGTCCCCAGCCTCGATCACGGCAGCCTGCTGGTTCCTGGTCCGTATCATGAAGCAGCTCTGCTTGTTTTCAGATATGCACTTTGTATGCAGGACACTCTGACATTCCCGAACACAAGCGGGACAAACGCTTGTGCGATGGCTATTGTGCGTGAAGAGCTCGTTTCCCACACTGGAGTCTCCAGTGCTGTTCTGGAGTTTCTGAAAAGCCCCCACCTGGGATCTTAACGGTTCGCTTCTGAAAAGCAGAAGAAGAGGCTTTTTTAATCCTTGTTCAGTTCTTGCATGTTAGCAGGCAGGTACGCCTGCTGCCCTGCAGCAGTTAACTCTCAGGTCCGTCTCCTCTCTGCACAGGGAATCTGAGGGCCATCAACCCAGAGAACGGGTTTTTCGGCGTCGCGCCCGGGACCTCCGTGAAGACGAACCCCAACGCCATGGCCACCATCTGCAAGAACACCATCTTCACCAACGTGGCGGAGACCAGCGACGGAGGGGTGTACTGGGAGGGCATGGACCTGACCCTCCCCAAGGGTGTCACCCTCACCTCCTGGAAGAACAAACCCTGGACCCCCGAGGACGGTGAGTCCGCTGCCCTCCTCCATCCACGAGACACCCCCTCTCCCCAGGCACCCCCAGAGAAAACCAGAGCCACCAGACACATCTGCAGCCTAGAAAAACCTCCAGGCTTCAGTCACCGGAATCACTTTTAATGACAGACGCCTGTCTAGTTTTGCAGTTACCAGATGACTTAACCATTGCTTTAAAACTCGTGAAATATACCATAAACTTAGTTGGCATGGAGCAGCCTCTTTCCTCAGTGAGATGCTGTGGCACTCAGCTGGAGCTTATTAACCCTTCTTTTTCCTCCCTACCTGTCCTGCAGACGAGCCCTGTGCACACCCTAACTCCAGGTTCTGCACCCCAGCCAGCCAGTGCCCCATCATTGACCCGCAGTGGGAGTCCCCAGAGGGCGTCCCCATTGAGGCCATCATCTTCGGAGGGCGCAGACCACAGGGTGAGTCCCCCCACTCGGGCATCATGAGGTGCCAGAGCTCTGTAGGAGGACGGGTGCATGCAGACTCCACACGGTGACTGACGTGCCACCCTCAATCCCCTTAATAATGTATCCTGTATTACTGACATGAATACAGAAAGAATGCTGATATAGAAGTCTAATCTAGTCTTCAATAAAAGATGCAATTCCTCTGACACTAACCCGTTCTGTCCTCTCTGTCTCCAGGTGTGCCCCTGGTATATGAGGCCTTTGACTGGCAGCACGGTGTGTTCGTGGGCGCTGCCATGAGGTCCGAGGCCACAGCTGCAGCTGAGCACAAAGGTGAGCGTGCACAGACACACACTTATACAGCGCTGTTCTGGACACCCCACTCAAAGCGCTTTACAGGTAATGGGGAATCCCCTCCACCACCACCAGTGTGCAGCCCCGCCTGGATGATGCGACGGCAGCCGGAGTGCGCCAGTCCGCTCCCCACACAGCAGCTCTCAGTGGGGAGGAGAGCAGAGTGATGAAGCCAGTTCAGAGAGGGGGGTTATGAGATGCTCAGTGCACCCGAAGTGCCCGTCCCTGCTGGCTCAGATACAGAAGCAGCTGCACCGGCCCTTTTAGGAGCAAGCTAATGAGCTGCCTGAGAGATGTGAAGCCGGGAGACGCTGGTAGGGCTGTCTTTCTGTGTCTCTCTCACACGCAACTGATCGTCCTCCCTTCCCGCCCCAGGCAAAGTGATCATGCACGACCCCTTCGCCATGAGGCCCTTCTTCGGCTACAACTTCGGCCGCTACCTGACGCACTGGCTCAGCATGGAGCAGCGCCCGCGGGCCAGGCTGCCCAAGATCTTCCACGTCAACTGGTTCCGCCGGAGCGCGCAGGGGGCCTTCCTGTGGCCGGGCTTCGGGGAGAACGTGCGCGTGCTGGAGTGGATCTTCCGCAGGGTGGACGGGGAGGCCGGCGTGTTCCCCTCGGCCGTGGGGTACCTGCCCGCCGAGGGGGCGCTCAACCTGAAGGGGCTGGGCACGGAGGTGGACCTGCAGGAGCTCTTCCACCTGCCCCGGGAGTTCTGGGAGGAGGAGGCCCGGGCGATCCGCGCGTATTTCGAGACGCAGGTGAACGACGACCTGCCCTACGAGGTGGAGAGGCAGCTGTGTCTGCTGGAGCAGAGGATACACCAGCTGTGAGGCGGGGCCAGAAAACAGTGCACTGCCAGGGAGGTGGAAATTAGGAAATTAGCGGATTGCTTAATTTACTGTTGCTTTTAATTCCAAGTTCATGAGCCAGGGCTCCCACCATCGCTTAAGGAAAAAAAGTGAAGAAAATGGTGGATGTTGAAAAATCAAAGAAATCTTTACCTCCAGCGTCCTGTGCTCTAGCTGTGGCTGCTGACCTCCAGCCCTGTGAAACACTAACAGTATTGCTAATGAACTGAAATGTCTTCTGGAACCTGAGAAGAGCTTAATCATTTTAGATTATAGTGTTAACTCGTCTTTAAGTGTCAAGTATATTTTTAAAAAGTGAGAGACAGAAATCAATAGCCTATATTCTGATTTGCACATTTATGCAATATTTTAATGTCATACGCTTTCCAAATAGATGTTTTTACGAGCCTGGTACAGTATGTTTGGATGCGTTACCAGAGAACAAAAAAGTCCTGCCCTGCTGTCTTCCAAACACTGGGGAATCAGCACATGTTTCAAATGCAGAACATGTTCTTTCTTGCAGAATAACTGTTATAGTTATTGTTATTGCTATTGTGAAACATTTTAATTTATTTTTGTACAGCATTAGCTGTTGGGATAGTTTTATTTTTTTTATTAATAGTGTAATTGTGTGGTTGTAATTAAAAAAGTAATTATTTTCAGCACAAAAGGTTTAAAAATGTAAAGAAATAAATAAAATATTTGGATTTTTGTAACATGTTTGTAGTCGGTTGTGGTCTGTTGATGAGTGGCTTTCTGATGAAGGACCTATCAGGAATTCAGCTGAGCAAATTACTGTGTGGAACAAGGGTATAGCCTTGCAGTCTGGCCCAGAGAGCAGCTGTGCTGATGCCGGGCTGCCCTGGACAGAAAGAAGCACCCATCTCCAGAGAGGAGGATCTGAGCTGTCAGAACCACCATGACCACCAGCAGAACAGCTGCTGCCCATCTCTGTTCTGACTCCAAAGACCACAGAGGTTCCTTCCTGTACGAGGCATGGGTGTGAACAGCTGGAGAAAGCAAGGGTGCATCTTTACGTTCTGATACAACACAGCATGAACCTAGGACTGGGCTGCAGTGTAGAGTGACCAGGACACTGCACCCCACATGAGAGGGGTGTTGCCCCCAGTTCCTGGCTGCACACTGCTGATGCGCCCTTGTCGCAATGGCTGCTGTAGAAATGGGAGTCGGGGTCAACGTCTCTTCTCGATGAACTCATCAGTTTAATACTTAAAGTGCCCCTGAGTGTTCACAATGGTGGACGAGAAACAAGGACTTTTGGCTCAAGCTAAAACTCTTCACAGTCCCTGTTGATCCGAGTGTTGCCCAGAGTGTTCCAGTCCGGACTGAGCACCCGGAGACAGGCTTATCTGTTCCGGGAGAAGACCTTTCCCACGTTGCTCTCACAGTGTAGCTCGGCATCCTCCCCTTCCCACTGCTCTGGTGTCCCATTGCTTTCCAGTCTCGGTCCTCCAGTAACTGGTACTGCGATGCCACCTGGGTTCACTCAGTGAGAGGAGATGACAGAAAGGAACGAAAACAATAAAATAGCAATTAATCTCAGTATTCTTATAATATTGCTAGTGTAACGAAACGGACGACATATAGGTACGAGCCGATTGCAGTGCGGTGACGGCACCGCCCTCTAACCCCCTGCACAGAACAGCAGTGTTGGCCACCTGGGCTGACAAAGCTCTTCTTTAGCTCAGCTGGTAAGAGCCCTGTTGAGTGATGCTGGAGTCCCGGGTTCGAGCCCATGAGGTGAGGGACGAACTGGGGTGGGAGTGGTGAGGGCGCAAGCCCAGGAACCTGAATTTACTACACTGTTTTGTCAACATTGTTTTACAGAACGCTAATATAAATATTAATTTAGAAATGCTCACACTTTGAACAAAGGAAGGGCAGAAGCATTTCTATCATAAATGGCAAGAGAACACTGGAGACCTGTGGAGGAGGCAAGATGATATTTGAGGCCTGAAGGAACAACTACAGGAAGAGTAGGAGAAGCAGAGCAGGGCTAGAAGGTCTTAAGTTGCCTCCAGAGCTGAGATCTTTCAGTCCCGACCTCCCTCGTACTTCAAAGTCAAAATACACAACCCCTGGGGGCTGGTGCCTCCACAGTCATCAGCAGAAGCATTTTAAAAAACAACCCCTTAACTAGTGCAGCAGGGTCAGCTGAAGAGTGCAATCTTGCGGTCATGATCAACAATCATCTGATTTTCAATCGCTCAGTGGGCGTTCAGAGGGAAAAAAACATGGGTGAGTCAGAGCTGGCTGAGATCGCAGAGAGGCCGAGGGGTTCGGAATGTGTGGAGCTCTGTGCAGTGCACTTGGAAAAGGCAGAATTTCCTGTGGCACTTCCTGGCGTTTCCAATCCAGCAGCCTGGCACTGTGGAGCGAAACTTGCCCTGGCATTTACGATACCTGGCATCCGTACCAGTGCAGCCAGCTGCTTGCTCAGTGCTGCCCCTCAGTGGAGTGCTGCCAGAAGTACAGAGCCCAGCTCTGCCTGAAAGCGCAGTGGCAGGGCTGCGTCTAAAGTTACTTTTACCACTTTCGTTTGCCTTTGGCATTTTTTTTGCAAGGGAATTTCTGTTTAAAGTTGTAGATGTCCCCCTCAAGCCTTCGCCCCTCTTTCTTTAGCAGGGGTTCGGGACGAGTGCCTGCCCGGCCCGAGCCGAGGATGGCCAGCGGGTCCTCTGTCTGCTGCGACGGCTGCACTCCGAGTGTGCGGGAATCTGCTCTGTCCTATTGACAGGGCACTGCGCAGCGGTTTCATCCAGAACAGGCAGAGTCCCAGGAGTCTCTGTGACCTTTCCCCCAGTCCCCGGGCCGGTCAGCTCAGGTCAGTGCAGGGGAGCTCAGCTCCCATGGGATAAAGGAGAAGTGAGGAAGTGTTAGTCACACATGCTGTGTCATGCACGGTCAGCCGGGGCCTGTCTTTCCTGGAGAGCTGCCATTGTGAAAACTGATGCTGATGAGACCAGTAAAACTACTCGGCACCCGGGGCGATCTCTTCAGAACCTCCTGAGGCTGATCGCTTGGGTTCTGTGCAAATTCACAACCGGCGCAAATGTCCCCATGGAGCCGAAGACACGAGGAGCTCGGGAGCGAGGGTGGAACGAGACACCCGCACGCAGAGGCTCTCCACAACAGCACAAGCGCGGCAGGTGTCCATTCCTCATGACGAAATTCTCTTAAAAGCAAAAGGGGCTGCAAGAGCAAACTGTACCTGCTGATATGGTTCCAGTCCGCCCCAGATCAAACTAGCAGTTCAGCATTTCTGAGCTGTGGATTCACGCAGTTGGCACTCTCCCCAGAGCCCCAGTGCGTTACACAAGCCGGCGGGAGAGATCGAACAGCATGTTTGTCCAGGGAGATAGCGCCACACTGCACTGCACGAGAGTTGCTCAACGCCAGGGCACATTCCACAGGACCGGCGCGGAGCTGCAGGAAGCAGGAATGCTGGCTAAACAGGTGTGTGATGTAATTCGGGGACAGTGACCCTGCCCACAGGCCCACCGTGTCATCAGCCCACCTCCAGGCACACTGCTGGTCAGCCACTCGGACAGCCAGCTGGACTCACACACCCCACTGCCCTGCGACTGCCCAGGGGACACCCTGGGAAACTCAGGAAAGCCTGGCTGGAGAGGTGAGATGTATGCCACGGGATTATGGAAGTAGAGCAGTAGAGTCTGGGAAAGGTAAGTGTTAAAATATCCATGAAGAACGACCATATTCAATGTTCATAAGGAAATCCAGAAAATAACCCATCGCCCTTCGTTTTCCACGTATTACTTGGTTGCCTACCTGTTACCTCTGACTGACCCTTGTCCTGCAGCTACAGGAGCATCTTTCCTCTGGGACATGTGCCCAGAATCACCTCCGCCTTTCCTGTGTTTCAGACAGCAGCAGAAAGGAGACCACGTGGCCCTTAACGTCAGGGTGCGTCAGCCGCACGACAGCTCTTGTGTTGTGTGGAACAACCCCCCGGTCATCTCCAGAACAAAACCTGGGCCCTACCACCAGCTGAACCCCAAGAGCAGCTGATACTGGGGACATGTGTCCCGGCCCCCAGAAGGACTACGGAGAGCCGTGGTGTAATCAGATCTTGCCAAAGCAGAGTGAGGTATTATAAAACACTGTAAACATGTTCCATCCTGAGGAGAAGGTAAATTCAATACGTGGTGTAAACCTGGGAGAGACAAGAAAATGAACCCTCCATCCCTTTTCTAACTGCTTCGAAACAGGGTTGCCATCCCAGCAGGCAATGGGCAGAAGGGTCACCCCAGACATAGAAAAACGTAAAAGCAATTTGCAAATGTTCTGTTGAAAACTTCCCTACAAGTTAATACCAAGTCTGTAGAGAGAGGGTCTTGCCTGCTCACTGGACTTGCAGAAAACACTTAAGCATTCATGCAACTCTGTGCACTTTTATGGAGTTTCTCTGGGGATTTACTGTGAATTTAGTGACAGATCACAGGCCAGCCTTGGCAAGAGAAGCAATCTGCGAGACACAGTGAAGGAGACGTTTGTTCCGCGCTGACTGTTGAGGACTATTGAGCTGTTTTTAATGGAACTGTGGGCCAAAGTGCTCAGCAGTTACAAAGAGTAATACAGCTCAGGCCAGAGGGCACTCTCTCATAATATCATTTTATCCCAGGGCAAGGCTGGGATCATTTCTATTGATATCCATAAAATGTTTTTTATTACTAAATTGCCTACAAATTGCGGAAAATCACTCCTTTGTCCCAGCAACCCTTGGACAGCACAGCCCAGTTTCCCCAGTCAGCAGTGAACTTGCTTTTCATATGAAAAAGCACAAGGTGCTGTGCAGACCAGCTGGGTACTAGCCATCAGTAAGAAGTCATACACAGTTAATACTGTTTTTATAAAAGAGGGTTTTCAACAATAAACTAAAGTCATTTACTGTTCATTGTAGAGTACACTGGAATATACTGTATATGTATGGAGAAAGAATGGTTGTTGCTTCAGAATGAACTAAAACAGGGCAGGTTAAGACAGCAAGCAAAAAACTTGTTTACTGAGACAATTCTAACGAAACACAGACGTTACAGTTCTGTTGGTTTCATAATTAAACACGATTATTCGTCTTGATATTCAAGAAGTACCTGAAGTGCCAGGCTGTGGTCACCGAGCCTGTCCTCTCAGGGTAGCCAGGTCTACCTGTGCCGCCCAGTGTCTGTGTCCAGGCTGTGGTCACTGAGCCTGTCCTCTCAGGGTAGCCAGGTCTACCTGTGCCGCCCAGTGTCTGTGTCCAGGCTGTGGTCACAAACCTGTACTTCGTCAGGGTCTGTGTTCCAGTTTGTGGGGAGTTTGTGTCTGGTCCCCTGCCCGGAGCTGAGGGTGCTGCAGAGTCAGCTCTCTCTCACCCAAGGGCCTCAGTGGCGCAGCTAGAGGTGACCCAGAGCGGGGCAGGAGGTGTGCTTGTTACGCAACAGCGCAGAAAAACAACCCACTTCATTCAGGAGAGTCCTGCGTCACTGGCTCCGACACAGCCCTGCCCACACCAGGCCTCTCGGCTGGTGGTTACTCATTAAAGGCCAGGGCCGCCTCTCACGCGGGGACATGGTGCTACAGCTGGGGCGCTGTCC